CAGGTTGGGTACATGAGACAAGTGCTCGGGCCTGGTGCACTGGGAAGACCCAGAGGGATCGGGTGGAGAGGGAGGTGGGAGGGGGGACTGGGATGGGGAATACATGTAAATCCATGGCTAATTCATTTCAGTGTATAACAAAAACTACTGTAATGATGTAAAGTAATTAGCCTCCAACTAATAAAAAAAAAATAATATGAAATAAGTGTCAATGTAGTATGGAGAGTGTTAAGTGATACGGAAGGTGTCAGTAATGTAATATGCAATATGCATCATTGGAGAATGCAATATGGGGCGGTGGTGTTGAGTCGCTAAGTCATATCCCACTGTTTGTGACCCCCATGGACTGTAGCCCACCAGGCTCCTCCACCCATGAGAGTACAGTAGACAGTGTAGGTGAAAGTACTGGAGTGGGTTGCCATTTTCTTCTCGAGGGGATCTTCCCAACCCAGGGATTGAACTCTTGGCTCCTGTGGTGTCTCCTGCATTGCAGGTGGATTCTTTACTGCTGAGGCGCTGGGTTTTAGCATAACGTGAAATGTGTTATTAATGCAGTCCACAATGTGCTTTCATGTAATGCGAAATGCATTCATCCTGTGATATATAATGGGTTACCAGTGAAACATGTGATGTGTATTCATGTAACATGTAGTATGTACTAGTGTGGCATGCATTGCCTACTAATGTACTGTGCAGTGTGTAAATGCTGACTATGTAACATGTGTTAGTGTGATATGGAAAGTGCAATAATATGATACTAATGCATATATGTACCAGTGGGCTTCTCAGGCGATGTGGAGTGTAAAGTGGATGCAGTTAGAATAACTGTGAGGACCTTGTCACCAGATGACCTCTCCTGACCCAGGACTTTTCTTCTCAAAGGCTAACTGGGGACACAGTCCCAGGTACAAGGTCTTAGGGAAGGATGTGGACTTTCCATAGCCAAAGGGCAAGTCCACAGGAACTGAAACGGAGCCAGCCACATGTGTGTGCATGTACACACTGTATTTTCAAGGAACAATAACTTGTAACTCACTTGGCTCTCTAACTCTTTCATACATATTAAAGGCTTTCAAAATAATGAATACTTTAAAGGACCTTTCAAAAGACTAGACCCTTCAGCTGTTGTCTGAGAGCAGAGGGAGGATATAGATAGAGAGATGGATGAGAGACAGACAACAGACAGAGACAGACAATGGACAGACTTTACTATTTACATGTCTCTTATACCCACGCATGGGTCCTGTGTTTTCTCTTCATCAAGGTTCTCATCATCAAAACCTCAGGAATACTGACACTTTGGGGCAGATGATTCTTTGATGTGGGGCTGTGATGCGCATCGTAGGGTGCTGAGCAGCATCTCTGATCTCTACTTATTAGAAGCCAATAACTCCTGTCCAGGTGTGACAGCAAAATACGTCTTTAGATAGAGTTAACTGACACCTGCTAAATACAAAACCATGGACAGGTGAGAAGCTTTGCCTACCATCTCAAGGAGGGCACAGCAGTGTGTCTAGGGGCACAGACCCTGGAGCTAGATGGCCTTGGTTCAAATCCCGAATCCTCAAGTAGTAGCCTGTGACCTCAGGAAAACTGACCTCTCTGAGCCTCAGCATACTCATCTGTAAAATGGGAGTAACAACATCAGCACCAATACGGCATCTTTGCTCTGAGAACCAGGTGAGTTAAGGTGCGTTAATCAGGGACTGCCGTGGTGGTCCAGTGGATAGGACCCTGCGCTTCCTCTGCAGGGGGCACTGGTTCACCCCTGGTTTGGGAGCTCAGGTCTCAGATGCTGCACAATGTGGTCCAAAAAAAAGATGTATTAAGCATCTGCTACACACCCTGGAAAAAAGTAAGAGTCCAACTCTCATTATTCCACATCTGCAAAGAAACAGAGTGGATGTGTGAGGAAAGGGTGTTCCGCATCCTTACGCCGCCAAGAATAAAGTACACAAGAATGAAGAAATTTGGATACGTATTTTGATTCTTAGTCAGAAGCCCCTGAAGTCCGTGATATAATGGGGTTCATGTGAAATGACATCTTCCTTGAATTAGAATCTGATTGATGAAAACACGAGGCATTTCCATAATAAGAAGATGCCTAACAGACTAGGTGTGTAGTGCTTGGCAAAGAGAAGATTAGATTTATTTTTAATCCTTCAATCATTTTCCATAGTAATTGGTGTGAGGTTTCCTCCAGGGTCTATCTTTACCCAGAACGCCCAACCCCTGCTGGGGAAGGGTCTCCAGGACCCTCCTCTGGTACCTAATAGTACCTGAGTCCAGCAGAGAAAGAAAGCGTCCTCGGCCACAGGCTGGTTCTGCCACTTTGTTTTTGATGGAAAACTGGGAAATCCTAATGGTGCAAGGTTCGGTTACAGGATCACAGCTTTCTTCTTCTTTCCCTCTTATGACTTGGCAAAGGATATGCTCGGTATTGGGTGGACCTGAGCAGCAGGAAGAGTCTCCACACGCCCTCAGGGCTTCCAGAGGTTCTCAGAGTCCTGGCCTCATGAAATGCGCGGGGGTCCCCGGATGCTGGGCTAATGGCCACCCCAGTGAGTGCCTCAAGGGCAGAAAGCTGTCCTGTGGCTGCCACGCCTTCAGGGGATGGAGGTGACGCAGGTGTAAGGGACTGTTCTCCCTCTGTGAAGACTCTTTCAGAGGGTACATGATCTCAACTCTCTAATAATGACGGCAGGACTTTATTTTATTAAAAAGCAGAGACGTCACTTTGCCGACAAAGTCCGTCTAGTCAAAGCTATGGTTTTTCCAGTGGTCATCTATGGATGTGAGAGTCGGCCCATAAAGAAATCTGAGTGTGAAAAAATTGATACTTTTGAACTGTGGTGTTGGAGAAGACTCTTAAGAGTTCCCTGGACTGCAAGGAGATCCAACCAGTCCATCCTAAAGGAGATCAGTCCTGGGTGTTCATTGGAAGGACTGATGTTGAAACTGAAACTCCAACACTCTGGCCACCTGAAGTGAAGAGCTGACTCACTGGAAAAGACCCTGATGCTGGGAAAGAGTGAAGGCAGGAGGAGAAGGGGACGACAGGGGATGAGATGGCTGGATGGCATCACCGACTCAGTGGACATGAGTTTGGGTAAACTCTGGGAGTTGGTGACGGACAGGGAGGCCTGGCATGCTGCAGTCCTTGGGGTCAACAAAGAGTCAGACATGACTGAGCAACCGAACAACAGAAATAACAAGAGCAGCAAGACAAGAGTTAAAGTCACAGAAGCAGATCCGGTATAACGTCAAAATGAACCCTTCCCAGTCACACACCTTCCCGTCTCTAAACTTCTGTAGAACCTGACTCCTCCCCACCCCCAGCTCCTCGGAGTAATTCTCTCAGGGTTACTTGAGATGCTGCCTCCCAGGCTTGAAGTCCTAAAAACTCCCACAGAGCCAAACATAACTCTCAACTTTTAGGTTATGACTATTTTTAAGTTGGCAGTGCGTGACATGTCTGTGATTTTTCAAAAAAAAAGTCCCAGTTTCCCAATGCGTGGGTGAGAGGTTTGACTCTTCCTCGACATACAATTCCTGGGAAGAATGTGTTGCTCTCGGAAGGTCAGTGTCACCATCTGGACGCCAGCTGACTTGGCAAGCAAAACATGTAAGGAACGCACCGCTTTAATGCAATCGATCGCTTTTGGCAAGCAGATGAAAATAAATTAAAAGGAGCCAAATTTTCTAATTGCCAGTAAATCTGCGGATGATCAACTTTGAAACCTTGGCGGTTCCCGTCTTTCCACGGATCACCATGTGTCATATTCCGCTTCCCATATTTTTGGCAAGATGACCAGATGGGAACCAGGCTGCAGCCATCAGGCAGGTGAGAAACAGATGGCCCAGGAGGAAAAAAAAACAGAAAGCCAGCAGGCTGGGAGCCGGCGTGCTGAGCAGCCTGCCCCGGTCAGGCGCTGGGGCCATGCGCGCTCCAGAGGCTGTCCCGGCTCTTTGTCCCCGTTCTGTTATCAAGGACGGGACGCAGGTCGCCTGTAGGCTAGAAGTGTGATGTAGGGAGGGGAGGGGGGTCTGCAGGGTGGATCCGACCATCTGGCTCCCAGCCTGGCTTACAGATGAATAAAGGTGACTATTTCTGATCTTCTGAGACCATTGTATCTGAACAGCCTTTTCTCTTCCCCCTCCATCTGCATTTAGTGTCTTGATTGTCTTTTGTCCATTCTCTAGGAAATGGGTCTTCTGCATCTCCACTGTTTCCCACTCGCAAATCCCTTGACAGTGTATCTAGTCTTGCTGAAGGAGGAAAGTTGCTGGCCGAGCTGACTCCATCTTACATTCCCAGTGAGCATTGGACTACGTGCCTGGGAGCCATGGAGATCACATACCAATGGCCGAACAGGCCTCCCAGACCAAGAGACACCAGACTCCACACCAAGATTTCCCTTCGCCAGAAAGAATGTAATGATCCCCTGTGTAGTCGATCTGTATGGCCCTCATTGGTGTGGGTTGCAGTGTATAACCAGCTGACCCTTCTGATTGTGAATCATGGCTGTGACCTGACTGTATCTCCCTTTAACTCTTTCCAGGCTAGGTGGGAGGAATTTGGGGAGGTGGGCTTGAGCAGTACACTTAAGCTCTATAAGGGTTTTCACAGAAATCGGTCGGGGTCCCTGGCTAAAGAAGAGACTCTGCCTCGGTCCCGTGGATGTAATAGCCCTCCACAATCCATGCTGTCCTTCTGAGTGAGTTTGTTTCCCAGAGCATTGGGCTTCCCTGGTGGCTCAGAGGGTAAAGTGTCTGCCTACAATTCGGGAGACCCGGGTTCAATCCCTGGGTCAGGAAGATCCCCTGGAGGAGGAAATGGCAACCCACTCCAGTACTCTTGCCTGGAAAACCCCATGGACAGAGAAGTCTGGCAGGCTACAGTCCATGGGATCGCAAAGAGTCGGACACGACTAAGCGACTTCCCTTTCTTGGCTATAACAATGTATGTAGTCACAGCAAAGCTAAAATCACACTGTAATTCATACTTCTCCATCGGAAGGTTCTCACAATCCTTCTCCCAAAGGAGAGCTCATAGCCCAGACCCCGTGCAGTGAGAGCAAACCGTTCAACTTTGGGTGGGTCCTCAACAGAGGATCCGGACTTGACCGCATTGCTTATCGACAACCCATCAGGAAGAACTGGCTCTGATAAAACAGAATTAGGACATGGTCCCCCTGGAAAAACTATTTCTGAAATGCAAAGCAGAACCTGGGTGATTTGAATGGACCAGCTCAGACACCATCTCATCTCACCCAGTCAGTGAAGTGTTTCTCTTCCTGTCATTTCCTTCTGTCTTGGGCGAGGCAAAGGATGCTTTCAGATTTTCAACCATCAGGGCACAGCAGGATTTTCAGCTTCGAGGGCAGTGCTGGTGAGGCCAAGGCAGAAGCTAAAAGACAAAGGAGAGGCAAAGTAGAAACAGATCTGAGACATACGGGAAAGGGGGGAAGCAGGAGGCCCCAGAGCAGCTGTGGAGCCACAGACAAAGGGCCATTCCTAACACCTTCTATTTGCAGAGAGCAGCCTTGACCTCTGAAAACCTAGTCCCAATGCTGGCTCTGCTATTTCTTTTGTGTTAAAATTGAAGTATAGTTGATTTACAATATTATCTTAGCTTCAGGGGTACAGCAAAGCAAATCAGTTATACATATACACACATACACATATATCTACATATCCATTCTTTTTCAGATGATTTTCCCATATAGGTTATTACAGAATGCTGAATAGAGTCCCCTGGGTTATATGGTAGGTTCTTGTTGATTATTTTATATAGTAGTGTGTATATGCTGATCTTAATTGCTAATTTCTCTCTTCCCCTAACATTTCTGCCTTGGTAACCATAAGTTTGATTTTGAGATCTGTGAGTCTGTTTCTGTTTTGTAAATAAGTTCATTTGTGTCACTTTAGATTCCACATATAAGTGATATCATATGATATTGGTCTTTCTCTGACAGAGAAATGAAAAAGATTCAATGCACACACATACACACACACAGTGAAATATTGCTCAGCCACAAAAAAAGCATGAAATAATGCCATTTGCAGCAACACAGATGGAGCTAGAGATGATCATACCAAGTGAAGCCTGCTACTTCTTAATTACAGGGTTTATAGTGAGTTACTTGGTCTCTCTAGGCCTAGAGGCCTTAGATTTGGCCACACAGCATTACTAGGATGAGAGGAACAGGATACAAATCTTGAAAGTCCCAAGAACGTGGCAGACACATAAGGTTAGTAGCTATTATGGTGACCATGTTGTGTGAAGCTCAGCACAGGTTTTCATTATTCCCATGGTCTTAACTGGCCCCTAAACCCGGGGTAAGGGGGAGAGTCAGAGTGCCTCTGAGCACATAGATAAGCCCTGAGATTAAAACAGATCCTTTTCCTCCATATTCTTTCTAGCATTTATTATTTGTTGATTTCTTTTTTGATGATGCCCACTCTGATAGGTGTGATACCTCACTGTAGATTCTATTTGCATTTTTCTAATAACGAATGATTTTGAGCGTCCTTTCGCATGTCTTTTGGCCATCTGCATGCCTTCTTTGGAGAAATGTCTGTTTAGGTCTTTGGCCCATTTTGGGGTTTTGGGTTTTTGTAACCGGGTTATTTTTCTGACATTGAGCTGCGTGTGTATTTTGGAGATTAATCCTTTGTCAGTTGCTTTGTTTGTGTACGGCAGAAACCAACGCACCACCATAAAGCAACTATCGTCCAATTTAAGAAAGTAATTAATTAATTAAAATGTCCCCAGCAGGTCCTGACTGTCTGTTACCCTGAGGAACTGGGGCTCCCTGGCCACATGTGTGGAACCCCTGCAGAGAGGTAACCAGGGCAGAGAGGTAACACCTCTCATTTGTAAACCTCCTTGCAGTCCACAGCAAGTTGTCACCTGTTGTAAGTTGATTTCCTCTCCCTGCCCGTACTATGCAGGAGGTTTCATGAACCTGACACCTCCTATTTTACAGATAAAGAACTTGAAGCCCAGACATTTAAGGAACTGGTCAAGATCATTAGTGAGTAGGGAAGCTAAGGCTGAGGCCCCATCTCCTAACAATTTCTCTGTTAAAAGATCACATACAATTAAAACAAAGTGCTGGAAATGCCTCCGCTCCCAAGTGGTCTGCTTTCTCTTCTACTTATTTGTGCTCAGATGCTCAGTCGTGTAAGACTCTGCGACCCCATGTCAGGCTCCTCTGTCCATGGGGATTCTCCAGGCAAGAATACTGGATTGGGTTGCCATGCCCTCCTCCAGGGGATCATCCCAACCCAGGGATTGAACCCACATCTCTTATGTCTCCTGCATTGGCAGGTGGATTCTTTACCACTGAGCCACCTGGAAAGCCCATTTATCCAAATTTATTCTTGGGTGTTTGGAGACTGGACCAGGCTCAGCCTCCAGATATAGAAGATGGCCCTGGACAATGAGAAATGCCTATGGACATAAGTTGCTGCTGCTGCTGCTAAGTCATGTCAGTCGTGTCCGACTCTGCAACCCCATAGATGGCCGCCCACTAGGCTCGGCCGTCCCTGGGATTCTCCAGCCAAGAACACTGGAATGTGTTGCCACTTCCTTCTCCAATGTGTGAAAGTGAAAAGTGAAAGTGAAGTCGCTCAGTCATGTCTGACTCTTCGCGACCCCATGGACTACAGCCCACCAGGCTCCTCCATTCATGGGATTTTCCAGGCAAGGGTACTGGTGTGGGTTGCCATTGTCTTCTCTGGGACATAAGTTGACAAGCCTCTGATTCATCACTCAAAGTCTTATTTCACTGACTTCCTTGGGCTTACAATTTAGCAAAAATAATATTTTATAAACATGAACTTTGGGGGTAGAACTTGTAAGAGCTACTCAGGGAATACATACTTTGTTCTGTATTTATCTGCCATTCATTTCAAGAACTAGGTGCAATTTTTACATTATTGGGGGGGGGGAATTATCTGTGTTGATTGGGTTGGTGCCAGAACCAAGGCCAGACATATACTAGATAAACTTAGTCTATACAACAATCCCCCAAAGGTTTAGTAATTCTATTGTATACATAGGAGCACTGAGGACTCATCCAAGGTGGGACAGATCAGAATTTGATCCATGCCTGCCTGATTTCAAATCCTGAACTTTTGACACCCCCACCCTGCAGTCATTCTGTTAGGACTGGCTATAAAATTTGGGGGGATCACTACGAAATGAAAACACAGGACCCCCTGTTCAAAAAGTGTTAAGAATCTCAGGATGGTGGCCACAGAGCATGACATCAAGCTCAGGGCCCTTGTGAGTGTGGAGTCCTGTGCGTCACACCGGGTTGCACAAACCCTAACGAAGTCTTCCTGCATCCTTCTACTCACACACCTGAAGTAAATTCCTTACCTTAGGAGTGAATTGCCTGCGAGGAGGAGACTCACGCCGAGGGTGAGTTCTTCAGCCTTCGCTTATAATTTTGTCAGATCTGTGATTGACTTCTTCTCAATAAAAACTAAACCTGAGCACTAGATGGACGCACTGAAAGAGATTTCCTCACAGATACGGCTTTAGAGAAACGTATACAATGTGCCAATTCTCCAAGGGGTTCCGGGTGTGTCTGGCTTCTCTATTTTTGTGAAACAGCTGGGACACAGGTCCAGTGAAATAACTCCCTGGTTCCTTGACCACTTGGAAATCAGAGAATATGGCTAAAGGGAAGATGAGCTGATCACCCAGGTTCGTCTAGAAGTGCCTTCCAGAAACAAAAACGGACACAGGCTGTTTGAAGACCAGTTTCCGACGGAGCGCTCCATTTCCGTTTCCCTTTCCATTTCCGGTTCCGTTTTCACTTCCGTTTCCGTTTCCGTTTCCGTTTCCTTACTCTTGGAGGGACCTTGATGGAGCCTGTGGGGGTGCTCTCTGTGTGTTCCAGTGGAGTTTCCCTGGAGAGCACACGACGCCGCATCCTCCATGCCCTGTGCCTCTGCCCACTGGAGACTCAGAGGGCTTCTCAGCACAGCCGGAGTTCCCACCCCACACCCCTCTGTCTCTTTGGGACCATTGCCTCTTGTAGTTGAGATCCATCCGGTGACAACCACAGCCCTGGATGCCAGTCTGCGACTCAGAACCCATTCAGCATACACACTGGAGAGTCACAAATCCAAGGAATCCATCCTGGCAGTGTGCCGACCGCATGTATGATTCTGGAGCGTGAAGAGTCTTGAGGTGAGTATGCTGATCACTGAGGGCCCTGCCATTGGATTAGACTTCTTTTAATGGCAATAAGAGCATTCAAAGATTCTTCTAGAAGGTGAAACTCGCTGGAACAAAGGTCCTAGAGAGATAGCCTTAAATGTCAGTGGAGTTACACAATTATTATTATTCCCTAGCACAGCAGTTCTTAAGGGCTATAAAGTCACCTGTGAATTTGTTGCATATTCCTGAGCTGTCCTTTCCAGAGTGTAATTAAGGAGCTCTGCAGCAGGGCCCAGAACCTGGAGTTTTGGTAAACACCCAGGGAATTTTGAAGCAGAGAATGCATGGCTGTACTGGAAGAGTTTTAATCAATGCCCAAGAAGTCATCCAGGCTCCTTTACCCCAACAGGACTGGGGAGCATCAGTTTTTTCCTCTCTGGGAAGCAAATCTCCTATCTTGGCCATGTTTTGTGTTCTGGACTAACTGGGTATATTGCTCTCTCTCTCTCTCTCTGTCCCCTTCTGTTGTGGATTCCAGAAACTCATTGCATCTCTTGCTTCCCAGGGTTTAGTTACCTTCAAATGCAATGAGGTGTTAATTCTGATAAGAAAAACATTTTGGTTTCCTAGATATCTCAGGAACACTAGCTCTGTCCACTTAAGAGCCAGATTTAAAGGGCTAAGACAATATATGTCTTCAGATTGAATGGTCTGACATAAACCTGGTTGGCTCAAAAAGTCTGAAACATTTTAATGTTAAGATCCTTCTTTCATCCACGTGTTTCTTTCACACACTAAGAATATTGTCTATTTTAGTTGTATATATATAGAAGAAAAAGGACTGAAAGTAAAAAATGCAGATTTTTTTTTTCTGCGTGTCCACAATATCTAGACGCAGGAGGGATCTAGGAAAACTCTTCAAATGACATAAAAGTGTCACCACCTGCCGCAGCAGAAATAGTGGGCACTTCTTAGCATCAACCACACCCAAACTTGGTTCCAAGAAAATAAATTAAATGACATTCATTTCAGGGCAATGGACTGAGCCTCTGAAATTCAACCCTTTCTTTTCCATGTAATTGGTGCCCCCTAGTGGCTGAAGCGCCAATCCTTTGGCCACCTGATGAGAACTGACTCGGAAAAGACCCTGACGCTATGAAAGACTGAGGGCAGGATGAGAAGGGGACGACAGAGGATGAGATGGTTGGATGGCAGCATGAGCTCAATGGACACGAGTTTGAGCAAAGTCCTGGAGATAGTGAAGGAGAAGGGAAGTCTGGAGGGCTACAGTCCAGGGGGTTTTAAAGAGTCGGACATAACTGAGTGACCAAAGGGCAAGTAGCTGAAAGGACCTTCCCTCAATCAGGAGGTGGATGGTCTCAGGAACAGATCCAATCAACTCTGTCCCTCAAATTCAGGTTTTGGAGCTGTGCCTTCAATCACTTGTGAGACCACCAGGGACTGGAGGGAACTTCACTGATTTGCCATTGCAATGTGCCAAGCATTCCCCATGCATTGTCTCATTAAATGCTCAAAAATCAAGGGGACTTACCATCAGCATCCCACTCTACCATCAGGTAGTGGAAGCAGTGAGGTCATGTGTCTGAAGTCATTACAGTGGTACCTGCAAAGCCAGGATCTGAAGCAAGCCTGACTTGACCCCAGTGCTCACGCCCTTTCCCGGTGCCCAGTAAAACAGCCAGAAGGAAAGGGAAGGGTGGGGTCTGCTGCTCTCAGAGCATCCGGGGGTGGGAGAGAGCTGAACCTTCTGGGCCTCTGCGGGCACCGTTGTCCACATCAGCCTGGGATGGAAGGGTGGTCCCTTTTACCAAAGATTCCTGTTGCTTTTCCACCCCTTCCTGAAAAAAGCTACAGGCTGCAACAGAGAGTGTGGTGGAGACACCCCTGGGGACTCAGTTTCCCTCAGAATATGTATCCCAGCAGCATTTTGTCTTCAGCAACTGCTGACTTGATGATCAGGGTAGTTTTCCCCTTCTTCTAGAAAAAAAAAAATCCACCCTTAAAGAGATGTTCTGATCTTTTCCTCATTTCTGTTATTCCTCAGATCCTTACCGTAACCCCTCTGATGGTCTGTGTCTACACTGAAATTGATTTCACACTGAAACAAAAGCCAAATCTGTCCTGTGGATAGTGCAGGTCATGTGTTGGACTAGAATGGTTGGTGTATAGTTAGGGTACACTGAAAGTCTGGTAGGATGCTTCACTCCATCCACCTTGATGGAAGGGTGAGAACCAAGATGAATTCGTTCAATTCTATGAAATTAATGAAACTGGAGAATAGGTAGCTGCAGTGGCTTAAACAGTAAGAGCTAAGTCAAGATAGTACAATTGCCCTTTTGAAACCTTGAGGTTTGCTCTAGAGTCATCATAAACCTACTTCCCTAAGAAAATTTATTTTCAGAGGGAAAATGCTGGAAGGTGAGCCAGAGCCACTGTATTTTGATGAGACAGGCATGTTTGAAGCTGAGGACATCTTGGTACTTGTAGAGCTGAGCTTTGCCTTGGAGAATGCCAAGGAAAGCTGGTCGAGTCCATTTACTCAGGGATGGGTGAAGTCCACGTAGGCACCACCTGCCCAAGATCTCCAAAAAGCAACCCCAGAACACGGGGCTCGGGAAGCTAGAGAGGATCACACAGATGATGGGGCTGCCCTTCCTTTCAAAGCACAAGGCATCACTGCAGTAGGGAACAGTCTAGGAAGATGACAGCATCTCAGCGCAGAGCCACCTGCTTGAAAAGGGGTACCTTGGCTTCAAAGGTGGCCAGAGTTAAGTGAGGGTTTAATTCTAAAGAGGCAACAACTGGTGTTGTCTACTGGGTACTTCAGAGCAAGGAAAACGTGCAAAAGAAAGATGTGTCTTTCATTCCAGTTGTACTTGTTGAGCATCTTGTGGCTGTGGGGCGTCTAGAGAAGAGGAAGCCCATGCCACACACAGAATGAGGCTGTGCAATGAAAGCTGGGTTGAGAACCCCACAAACCAAACCCTGTGGGTATTACTAAACCACAGATGGAATCAGCATTGAAAACAAGACAGTTTATCAGCACTGAAAATCAGCAACAGCTGTAGTGGATTGATGGGCAAGAATCAAAACTCAGAACTCTTGCTTGTTAGATCATTGACCGTGGAATGAAACTGCAACATCATAACATTCCTAGAACAGCAGGGGTGCAAGAGCGCACTTGGAATTAGGGCCCAGCCTGCAGAAGCTTCCCAGGTTGCTCAGACGGTCAAGAATCTGCCTGCAGTGCAGGAGACCCGGGTTCAATCCCTGGGCCAGGAAGATGCCCTGGAGAAGGGAGTGGCTATGCACTCCAGTCTTCTTGCCTGGAGGATCCCATGGACAGAGGAGCCTGGTGGGCTACAGTTCATGGGGTCACGAAGAGTCAGAACTGACTGAGGGACTAACACTTGTACAGAGGCTCAGAGTCCTACATCCTCAAGATCCTTCAGTTCAGCAAGACACCGAGAGAGCGCAGCAGCTGAGTACCCACCAGAGCATGGACTGTGTTCACTACAGAGGACCAGGCTTTCAAGTTCACGGAACTACCCATGCGGAGCTCTGGCCCTGGGGACTTAAAGGCTTCAGTTTGCTTTAGGACCCCTTAACAAGGTGTGTGTGTGTGTGCGTGCGTGCGTGCGTGCGTGTGTGTGCGCCTGCCCACACACTCCTCTTGGGCTCCTGTTTGTTCATTTTCTGAGATTATCTTATCTCCTCCAAAGCATTTTCCACCTCCTTTCTCTGAGCCCGCTTGCATCTCTCTCTGGATTGCCAACCACCCACCACCTCTTCACAACTGAAGTTTCCAGAAAAATCCCATCCTCCTAGAAGCCTGAAGAATCATGACTGTTTTGCAGCACAAAATGCCTCTGGGTGGAAGAGTCATTCTGCACTACTTTACAGAAAACCAGAAAGCATGAACATCGGTTATCTCCCTGTTGAACGCTTCAGTGTCCTGCATGACCATGCTTTTTCTGAAATCATTGCTTGTTCACTAACTCATACAGAGGGCTGTTTCACATACCGTGAAGGGCTGATGAATCAGGAGTGTGAGTCTCTTGGGGGTTCCCCAGATGTTAGGAAAGGGAACCAAAAGATATTCTGTCACATCAGGGAAGATTCACTAGAGAACGTGGTCATCATGCTGACACTATCTGTGGAGCTTTGGCGGGAATATTTAAGCCATTCTAAGCCATTCCCTTAAACTTACCTGATCTTAATTTTCACCTTCTTAATTCTAGAAGCATTTTTCAACTGTTATCTCCCACCTAAACAGCCAAGTTTTCTTAGAAGCGCAGGAAGCAGAACTTTACTGGAGACTAGAAAGAGAAAGATTGTCAGTACATAGCTGTAAAAGCTATTGTAATTTCTTAAAGCCCTTTTACGGAGGCATATTGCCAAGACTGTTTTTGTTTCCATAAGATGATGCAAATCAGATGCAGACTTATTAAGCTTTGGAAAATGCCTAGCACATACGAAAGATATCATGCAATGAGGTATGATAAGAATTTTTATGGATGGAAGCTTTGCAATTAAGTACATGTTCACTATTATGGAAACAAATGAGAACAAACAATAAAAGGAGCTTTAAGGGAA